TATAGCAACACAAACTATTACAAATACACTTTCATTTTTTACATCCCCACCACCAATCATCTATTTTCACCTTCATCAACCACTTCGCGATTATCATCAACAATAACGCAAGCAAATACATGTGTAAATAGAAAATTGAATGAAAACGATCGTGAAGAGTCAATAAGAAATAGAATTGATATGTTTGAACTAATCAAGTTTAATCAAGTTTGAACTAATCGATGTTTCACCTCTATCGGATGGATATTAGGTTGCCTGCAAGATCAAGTTGAGTGAGAGTGTTGTTTACTTTCAGTGCTTCTGCTAGTGCTTCACGTCCTCTATCCGATATTTTGTTCCGTGCAAGATCAAATTGAGTGAGAGTGTTGTTCACTTTCAGTGCTTCTGCTAGTGCTTCACCTCCTCTATCGGATATTAGGTTCCATGCAAGATCAAATTGAGTGAGAGTGTTGTTTACTTTCAGTGCTTCTGCTAGTGCTTCACCTCCTCTCTCGAATATTCGGTTGCTTGCAAGATCAAGTTGAGTGAAAGTGTTGTTTACTTTCAGTGCTTCTGCTAGTGCTTCACCTCCTCTCTCGAATATTCGGTTGCTTGCAAGATCAAGTTGAGTGAGAGTGTTGTTTACTTTGAGTGCTTCTGCTAGTGCTTCACCTCCTCTCTCGAATATTCGATTGCTTGCAAGATCAAGTTGAGTGAGAGTATTGTTTACTTTCAGTGCTTCTGCTAGTGCTTCACCTCCTCTATCGGATATTCTGTTTCGTGCAAGATCAAGTTGAGTGAGAGTATTGTTCACTTTCAGTGCTTCTGCTAGTGCTTCACCTCCTCTCTCGAATATTCGGTTGCTTGCAAGATCAAGTTGAGTGAGAGTATTGTTTACTTTCAGTGCTTCTGCTAGTGCTTCACCTCCTCTCTCGGATATTTGGTTCCCTGCAAGATCAAGTTGAGTGAGAGTATTGTTTACTTTCAGTGCTTCTGCTAGTGCTTCACCTCCTCTCTCGAATATTCGGTTGCTTGCAAGATCAAGTTGAGTGAAAGTGTTGTTCACTTTCAGTGCTTCTGCTAGTGCTTCACCTCCTCTGTCGGATATTTGGTTCCCTGCAAGATCAAGTTGAGTGAGAGTATTGTTTACTTTCAGTGCTTCTGCTAGTGCTTCACCTCCTCTCTCGAATATTCGGTTGCTTGCAAGATCAAGTTGAGTGAAAGTGTTGTTCACTTTCAGTGCTTCTGCTAGTGCTTCACCTCCTCTGTCGGATATTTGGTTCCCTGCAAGATCAAGTTGAGTGAAAGTGTTGTTCACTTTCAGTGCTTCTGCTAGTGCTTCACCTCCTCTATGGGATATTTGATCGCTGCGAAGATGAAGTCGAGTGAGAGTGGTGTTTACTTGCAAATCGTTTGCAAGGATGTCAGTGGCTTGTTCAAAAGCATTATGAGCCGTCTTGTCGTGTAATTTTACCGCCAGTCTTAGTGACGATAGTTGTGTCATAGAGGAGAAGTGTGGCACCACGACTTTGATCACTTGTTGTGTTTGGAAGTTGAGCAAGGATAAAGAGCGAAGATTGACCAATGTGTTCTTGGAAAAGTGGGTGAATAACAAATCAACGTAGTTGGAGGTCTCTTTAGACAGATGCAGAGAACGAACTTGTGCTGTTGATGGAAAGTGTTCGCAGATAAAGTCACATCTCGATTTGCTGATGCTTTGAAAGTTCAGATCAAACTGTATGCTGCCAGGTAGTTGATCGAAGCGATCGTTTAGTCGAAGGAATGAGTGGAGAATATCATAAGCATGAAAATATTCAAAGATTTCAAGAATCACTTCGTTCGCAAGCGATTGAAATTGTGTCAGATCTAAACAAATGTGCGTTGTCGAGAGGTTGAATCCTTGGTCTGTCTTATATGAGGAGAGTCTCTGAAGTATAAGGAAGTGAAAATGGCAAGGTGGAAACTCACTCTCGAAGATGAGTAGCAGTGTCACACTGAGCGATAGTTCTTCCGAGTATTAGGCACAGTTCTATCCATCCCTAATATGGATGGATGGTCAGTCATTAGCATTTTACTATAGTCTTGACCATGAATATCATCTCTCTCTCTCCACTATTCTCAACACATTGCAATCATTAGCTTTGTGTGTGCCGCACTGAATGTGGTTGAAGAACACATGATCAACTTACCATTCTGTGCTTGCTTCAAACATTCATCGTTGCCACAAGTACTGAGCAAGCGGTTTGATAAGTCATGCTGCATCTCTCTTCAGGATATGACATCGACGTTTGTATTCATTCTGCTGTCAGTTGTAATCAGAGGATTGAATATATCCGATGTTTTTGCCAGCATCAGAACGCAAAGAGAGATATTAATCGTTTTTTTACATATGGATGCCTTTGGACGCGTAAGAGGAAAAGTAACGGCATTCAAGAGGTTAAGTGTTTGCATAATGACATCACTGCTTTGTGTTTTTCTTTTCTGTTGTCAAGAATCAACAGAAACGAAAATCGTTGTTTGAATTGTGACGTAACAGATAATGAGGCAACAGCTCTGACAGAGCATATCTTCTGTGCAGAGGGACATGCCTCATTTCTAACGTGTAGAAAACGAACGTGATTAAGCGGAAAGCTCAAGAATGAACGGAAAAGGTGACAAAAATCGGTTGACTGAATAGCCTTGCGCCTAAGTTATTTCACTCATATCTTGAGCAGTATATCTATCCTCATAAGAGAGCATTCATCAAATATAGCAACACAAACTATTACAAATACACTTTCATTTTTTACATCCCCACCACCAATCATCTATTTTCACCTTCATCAACCACTTCGCGATTATCATCAACAATAACGCAAGCAAATACATGTGTAAATAGAAAATTGAATGAAAACGATCGTGAAGAGTCAATAAGAAATAGAATTGAAAAATGGTATGTACAAAACCAATATTCAGCATTAAAAAATGATGATGATTATACATCAACGGTACTTGAAAATGCCGACGGCATGTTTATAGGAAACATTATGTGCCTGTTATATAAGTTCAGAAAGATAATATAAGATATAACACAGAAAAACCACGACTCGCGCCTCGACGTTTTAAAACTCCTCTACTTAGACCGCAACTCAGCGATAAAAATCTCGACTCGCGATGCGACTACCCAAATACTACTGTTTATATATCTGTGATTGTCTCTGCGCGACTCGCCATATTGCGAATCGTGCCGCGATACAGCGATAAGATAGCGCTCACGCTAAGAAATATTGATTTGGTTTTTTGAATATTTATCAACTTTTCAAGTTCCGTCGCGAGGTCGCGAATCTGTAGCAGAGATGGAAACGGACAGACTTTTTGTGTCCGGTCCGGTTGGATTTCGGCCGGTTCATATTTGAAGCCAAACTTGCAAAAATCCGGTAAAATCAAACGGACACACAATAGCTAGTTCGTTGAGATCATGACGAAAAATGATTTTGTAAATGGCATGTAAGGGTTCTAACTGAGAATCAAAATCTAGAAAGATCTCTTTTGCTTTGCATTCTTTGAGATGAGCATGGAAAGGTCTGAGACCATAATTCTTACGATTTTCATCAGCAGTCCCCAGGTCGACCAAAACGGATATCCGTTACGGACCGTCTACTGGAAGCAGGAATACGGACCGTAACATCATTAAAATAGGGCCGTATACGGCCGTAAATTCACAGTATACGACCCCGTATTACTGTGCCCAGAAACGGTACCGTTTACGGACCGTATATTGTGAAAATACGGCCGTATACGACCCTATTTTAATGATGTTACGGTCCGTATTCCTGCGTCCAGTAGACCATCCGTATATGGACCGTATCGTTCGACCTGGGTTGTCCTTGAATGAGTCCGATAGGCTGTAAAACAGCGATTGCAGGCAGCCCAACCGTCGAAAAGTACTCGAATACCCTCGTTATTGATTTGACTGACTAAAGATATGTCGTTTTTCCAGAGCTCATGATTGGCTTTTTCCTTGGTGATTAAAATAAATTCTTTCGATTATAATTTTCGCTGGATTTGACCAGCTTAAGATTATCTGGATTCGGATTAACCATTGATATCGATAATAGAAGATAATAACGTCAAATATGAAAATGAAGCCACAAAATTCGTTCGCGCCGATAATCAAGACGAAAGAAAAAGATTTGAATGTGAATAATGATTTTGTAGAGAGAGTAAAAATAAATGATTGTGATCTGAGCAAAGTGTATAAAGAAGAGGAGAAACGAGTGTATTTCCCCCTCATTCTCTTCCCATTTAGTTTGTCTTTGTCTAATTGATATTACGAGCTAATTACGGTCAAAAGCCGCTGCCGTTAGAATACGATCAAACCACTGTATATACATGACTTCGTACAAATATTCTCGCCATATTTTCTGTTTTTTATTTTGAACTTCCAGCGACATTTGACATATTGTTGCTAGCAGAAATGGGCGAATAGAAGCTCTTTTCGATAGAGAAAGTCTTTGGATACAAGTATTAGTTCGATTATTATGAACTGGCAAAAATTCGGTCGTCCAGCCCGGTTTGACTTTTCGTCCGGTCTGGCAGGATCGGAGCTGGTTTGCCGGACCGGTTCCAACTCTGATCTATAACGATCGCGTAGCGGCATAGTAACAGTATAGCGATCCCACCGCGACATAGGGACAGTATAGCGATCGCACTAAAGAATATTGAGTTGTTTTTTTGCAAATTTGTCAGCTTTCAAGTCCCGTCCTGAGATAGCGAATCTATAGCCATCGCGCTGCGAACATTAATCGTATAGCGAATCTTAAAACGAGATTTTCTTTTAAAATAAGATTAGTCCAAGACCACGTCGCGAGTTTCAGAGTCTAGTGCCTAGATTATAAGATCACTTGTCGATCCATGAGAATACAGATTAATCATTTTCTTTAAAAATTCATTGAAATATCGCACGACGGGTATTTGCCATTGTTGATAAATAAATGCTTTCATATTATGAAATAATGACGAAAACCAGTAGTTATAGTTGCGACAATCATTGACGACGAATATTTTCATATACAAGATATATTTGCATCATAATTCACACTTTTTATCATGAATTTAGCTCAAGGGGAGCCAAAGATATTCAACGCGCAAGGTCCGAAAGCCCGTTTTTAGAAAAACGACTGAAAGCCCAGCCTTTTTTCTACAAATTGGTTGAGTAACTGACTGTAAATGGCAAAGAACGAACTAGATAATAAGCATTTTTTGACGATAGGCGGTGCTAAAAACGGGCTTTCGGACCTTGCGCGTTGAATATCTTTGGCTCCCCTTGAGCTAAATTCATGCTTTTCTCTGTGACAGTGAGGACATAACAGAGAAACAAAAGTTTAAAAAGGTTTGAAGATCGGTCTATAGAGATCGGAGAAATTTAATATTTACATGTACGCACTGAAACGGTACAATATAATTACAAATCACTCATATAAATAAAAATAAAAATAAATCTACATACCGAAATGAATTGCTAGCAAATGCGAATTCATTTTTCAGAAAATCAAATTCTCAGTGAATGAGTATTTTCCAACCTATGGAGAATACTCTATAATTTCCAAATTTAGAATTCCACCCAGATAAAAAGTGTGAATTATGATGCAAATATATCTTGTATATGAAAATATTCGTCGTCAATGATTGTCGCAACTATAACTACTGGTTTTCGTCATTATTTTATAATATGAAAGCATTTATTTATCAACAATGGCAAATACCCGTCGTGCGATATTTCAATGAATTTTTAAAGAAAATGATTGATCTGTATTCTCATGGATCGACAAGTGATCTTATAATCCAATTAAATCAAGTAGTGTGTTGTATCTTGATAAGGTTTATTTTTTGCACAATTATTTATGTTCTGTATCAGTTGGTCACTGTGACACACAAAAAGATAATACAAAATATTAATCGATCAACTGTACCGCTAGTCATTTGGTCGAGTTTCTGAAATTATATCCATTTTCAGAAACTCATTGAGCGTAAATTAAAGCACATACCAGAAAAATAACTTCAAATGTTATTTAGAGCGAGTAGTTCGAAAAAATATACGTTTGATGGAGTTGAAGAGTCTTTTTAACAATCCTAGTTTATAAGTTTGTGCTTGATCATTCTGACATTGCATATAAGAACAGGTGCAAGCACTTTTTTGCTACACTGCAGTCATTCAATGAAGACTATACTGATTTGCTGCCCAGTGAAGCAAAAAACTAGTCTTTTTCACCTGACCAAAAGTTTATAGTTGAAATTCCACTTCAGGATGTCAGAAACGACTTTACTTGTATAGAAACGACCTAAAAATGCATCGGAGCAGATTTGATGTCAAACAAATAATAACGATATTGTGAACAGCATTCTGACTATGTGTGCATTTAGAGAGAGGGATTAGCATTCAGTTGTTGAAAACAGATGTTGAAACAAATGCAGTGAAGTCCTTCTGAGATACTAACGAAATAGTAGCACTCAGTATTATATTTA